CTCCTGTATCTCAAAATCCTTATCCCCATAATATAAGCAGCCTCTCTCTCAGATCCTTCATAGTGAAACACTTTCCAAGCCAAGACTTAACATCTTGTAAAGTTTTCATAGTGAAACACTTTCCAAGCCAAGACTTAACCTCTTGCAAAGTTGGAATGTCATTTCCTATAAGAAGTATGTCATCAACATAGAAAACTATGAAGGTTGTTATACTCCCACAAGCTTTGACATATATACAAGATTCATCTTCACTTTTAGATAAACCAAACTCTTTGACTTCTCATTAAAGCAAAGATTCCATCTACGAGAAGCTTGCTTCAATCCATAGATTCATTTTTCAAGCTTACACACTTTAATTGGATACTTTGCATCTACAAACCCCTCTGGCTGACTCATGTAAACATCCTCAACCAACTTTCCATTAAGGAAAGCAGTTTTGACATCCATCTGCCAAATTTCATAGTTATGAAATACAGTTATGGCCAACATTACCCTAATAGATTTTATCTTGGCCACTGGTGAGAAAGTATCGTCATAGTCAACCCTAGGGTTTGAGTAAAGCCTTTTGCAACCAATTGTGTCTTGAAAGTGTGTACCTTTCCATCCATGTCGGTTTTCTTCTTGACGATCCATCTGCACCCAATTGTCTTACGACCTGGTACATTATCAACCAAATTCCAAACTTGATTGTCATACATGGACTTGATCTCGTTGTCCAATGCCTATTTCCACTTGGCTAACTCAGGGACTGCCATGGTTTCCTTGTAGTTAGTAGGTTCATCCAAATTTACCAATGTACTATCACTGATAAACGTATCACCATTTGTAGTAATATGGAAACCATACAACTCTGGTTGTATTCTAACTCTAGTGGAACACCTAAGAGGTAATGATTCATCAATTGGTTCAACTTGAATTTCTTCCTCAGGTTGAGCGCTGGCATTTTCAGAAGTTCCTTCATTGTTTGACTCTTAAATTTCTTCAAGATCAATGGTACTCCCACTGTCCTATTTGCATACGAACTCTCTTCCGTGAAAGACTCCTCTTCATGCTACGAAGACCACGTTCTCACTAGGTCTGTAGAACAAATATCCAAAGGACTTATATGGGTAGCCGATGAAAATACATTTCTCACTTCGAGGTTTAAGCTTGTCGTGAGTCTATCGTCTAACGAAAGCTTCATAACTCCAAACCTTGATATGTGCTAACGAAGGAACCTTTCCTATCCACATCTCGTGAGGTGTTTTGACAACTTTCTTTGTTGGTACAATATTATGAATGTGGGCGGCAGTCTCTAAGGCATACCCCCATAAAGAGATTGGAAGTGAAGCTCGACTCATCATGGAACGAACCATGTCTAACAAGGTTCGATTATGCCTATCAACCACACCACTAAGTTGTGGTGTCCTAGGATGTGTCAATTGTGAAATTATTCCACATTCCTTGAGGTAGTCGTGGAACTCGATACTAAGATACACACCGCCTCTATCGGATCTAAGCATCTTTATTTTCCTTCCCAATTGATTCTCGACTTCTTGTTTAAACTCTTTGAACTTTTCAAAAGTTTCTGATTTATGCTTGATTAAGTAAATATAGCCATATCTGCTATAATCATCAGTAAAGTTAAGTAGAATCGATTTGCATCCCTTGTGGTGGATATGAAGGGCCCACACACATCTATGTGTATGTGATTCAACAATCCTTCACCTCTTTTACAAGAACCAGTGAAAGGTGATTTTGTCATCTTACCTAGCAAACAAGATTCACATGTATCATCTGACCTTAAGTCAAATAATTCAAACACTCCATCCTTTTGGAGTTGGGCCATGCGTTTCTTGTTGACATGTCCAAGACGACAATGCCACAAACATGCTTTGTCTATACCATTAGACGAATCAGCATGAAAAATGCTATTTCCTAAATTGTATACAATCATCACAGTTTCATACACACCACCACAATCTAAAGCTTCAAAATAAAACACACCATTTTTATAAGCAAAAATAGAACCATTATTGTCATCAAAAGAATATCTAAAACCTTGTTTAAATAAAGCATGAAATGAAATGATGTTTCGTGTCATATTTGACGAGTAGCAACAATTTAACAAATCTGGCCCTAACCCACTACTAAGAACTAAGCTATAAACTCCAATCTTGGTAACAGGTGAAGACCGCCTATTGCCCATGATTAAGTTCATCATTCCATGCTCCACATCCTCACTTCTTCTTAGCCCCTGCAAATCAGAACAAATGTGAAATCCACATCCTGTGTCAAGGACCCATGAATGAGAATATGATGAGTTATTAGATAAAATAGCGTAAATACCTACCGAGGTTGGCTTCACCTTTCCATCATTGATATCCTGCAAGTATTTTGGGCAACTTCGTTTCCAATGCCCCTTGTCATTGCAGTAAAAGCAAGTGACATCCTTTAGGTCGGAAACAGGGGGAGCATCAGAACTGGACTTTCCTTTGGGTCCACTACTAGATGACCCAGCTTGGGACTTTCCCTTCCAGTTCAGCTTGGTATGACCTTTCCACTTTTTCCCCTTCCCTTGACCAATGGCTAGAATAGGAGTAGCAGCAGGAGTGGATGCAACACCTTTTCCCTTCATTCCTGCTGCAGCTGTTCGCAGGAGGTTGTGCAATTATGATAAAGTAGTTTATGATGGGTTTTGAGCACTATAACAATCCTATGGTGCACATACAACCCTAAATGCTTTGGATCTAAGTTTTCTCAAGGTATACATGCAATTTTATTTTATCCAAAACATATACCCTAGCTAGCATGCAATTGGAGAGATACAACATAAAAACTAGTTAGATGAATACCTCTTGTTGTAGCTTGTAGTTCTTGGCCTTTCACGAGCTTAGTACCTCAAGTGTGATACCTCTAATAAGTTACAAACACCATAAGCAAATGGAGGATTGTGAGAGAGAGGCTACAAGGCACCAAAATCGGCTAGGGTTCTTCTTGGAACTCTTGGGGTCATTTTGATGATGCTAGGGGTTACATTTATAGTGTGGAATTCCTAGGGTTTTACTTGGAAACCCGTAATTCACTTCCTTGGGCTTTTAATCCAATAATCCATATGATAGGCCATCTGGACTAACTCTTCATGGACTCTCACATGGATTTAGTCCATCCCTAATCAACATGGATCACTAGCCCAAACTATAAGTATTACTGATTTAATTAATCGGTCCCCGTTAATCTAATCAGTCTTTTTTGATCACTAAATTAATTCCAAATTAATTCTTGATCAATATCAATTAAATAATATGATTTCTCAATTAATATATTATTCATATAATATATTAATAAATCACAAATAACCTCTTTCTCAAAAATCCATCCTATCAAATTGCTCTGGTGAAGGCAACCCAAAATGATCATGCTACTATCGGGTCAAGTACATACCAATTATAGTTATGGGCTTAGACACCTAATCCAATAGTCTCCCACTTGGATAAGTCTAATAACTATAACTGCCAATGCAACTTCAAAATCCGATTAGCACTCGTAGATCTTAAAAGTCGATGTCGAGCTCTGATCTTATTAGTAACGCGTCCTTCAGATAAGGGATCAAATATTTCTCCGTTCTACAAGATATCCTATAGACATGAGACATGAATTACAATCATTATCTCTGTCCAAGTTCTGTTTCCCGATTTCCGATTTATGATGACTGACTAATCGAACAAATCAAATCAGTCCAACGGATTTGGCTAGGAAAGAGCCTTATTTATACTTGCCAAATACCCTATAAAACCTAAATTTTAATAATAAAATATTAGTATTTTATCCATGTTCAACTTCAGTTTCCTTATCTGAGTTGGAGGCGTTTCGAATAAATTAATATTATGGACATAAAACATGCAAAGTGAAACACAATAATAAATTAATTGACAAATGGTATCACACTTTGAACATAAATAAATCTCTATTTAATTAATCATCATTCAATTATAATTTATTATTGTTACATTGTTTCAAAATATCAACTAACTACTAAAATCTAGAATCTAATATCATCTATTAGCCCCATCTCTCATAATATTTATTAATAATCGTATTCTATAAAAATGAAAATGAGTGAAAAACAATAGGTGAGAACAAAAATGAATAAAAATCAGTGAAAATTCATGATAATGCCGACAACCGTGTGGGTTTGAACGTATTCACATTACCAAATCAATTAATAGTCGACATAACCAATTATTTAAAACTATTGCACTTAATAAAATTATAAGTTAACTATAAGTTTTCATGTATAAATATCCAATCATAATTTTTTAAAAGTTATTACTTTATCTATATACTTATAATTTCGTGCAACACATCATGATTCTCATAGTTTTTTTTTTCTTTCTAAATTTCAAGTTATTATATAAATAATGATTCGATCATTCATGAAAACCAAACATTCAACACTTCTTCCAAAGGGTAAAATAGAGCCAAAGGCAATGTTACTTAAGCAGATTTTGTGGGTTTTTCGGTTAAAAAAGACTTTGAGACATTTTCGTTAACCCTTATTTTCATCTGCTTAGAAAATATTGGATAATGAATATATATTTGAATCAACAAGACTTTGTATGTATTTGAAAGGGTTCTAACTTCTAATTATTTGGTTAATTATATGAATTTATTGATAATCAAAGGTATAAGATTACTTACTAATAAAACAAAATTTAAAACTCGGAAACAAATCAAATTAGAAAACGATTTATACATACCATATTCATTTTAGAAAAATAGGCAATAGAAATACCTACATGAAAATCCATCTCATCAATCCTTGTTCTCAAGCTATAATTCAACGGCTGATAATGATCTACACCATTTCACACGGATCACAAATATAACCGCCAACAGTCTTCCGCCCAAAATTCAAAATCCCTCCAAAAGATTTCACCTTTAAAACCACGCCGACAGTTCATTTCCTGCATCACATTCTAAACCGAATCTCGTCTCTTCAATCTTTTTACATTGTGAAAATGTCTGGTCGTGGAAAGGGTGGAAAAGGACTTGGAAAGGGCGGAGCAAAACGTCACCGGAAAGTACTCCGTGATAACATTCAGGGAATCACAAAGCCGGCGATTCGGAGGTTGGCTAGAAGAGGCGGAGTCAAGAGAATCAGCGGATTGATTTATGAAGAGACTCGAGGTGTTCTCAAGATCTTTTTGGAGAATGTGATTCGTGATGCGGTGACTTACACGGAGCATGCTCGCCGCAAAACGGTGACTGCCATGGATGTTGTATACGCTCTCAAGAGACAAGGCCGAACTCTTTATGGATTTGGGGGCTAAGTTTGTTTCTCCTTTCCAATTGATATATGTAATTGAATGGATGGATTTAAATGTTTACTTGATTATGAGGCATTGAATCTTAATGAAATGCTAATTTTCTTCACAATACAATTTGTTTTTTTGATTGTTGGTTTACCCTGTTGCTGAATGCTTGGTCAACTCTCTGCAGTTCATGTTTTTTCTGGGTTTGATCTGCATTTTTGAATCTCTTTTCAAAGGAAACTTTTCATCCAATCAGACCATCAAATGGATTTGTTGTATACAAATCTGATCAGATCTGACTTTGAAATGTTGATTTACTTGAATACTTATCTGTCTGCGACTAAAGTTTTGTTTTAATTTTGGTTTCCATTTCTGGGCTTGATTGATTTGTGTTCGAATTCGAATTGCTATTGAACTGTTCTAAAAAAATATCTAATTATCATAACACATCTAATTCAAAACTTAATCCCCCCATTTTTGATTTGGGAAACACAAGCAGAGGCTTAGGTTCATATTTCTTGATGAACACATGTAACCCTAAAAGAAAAATGTCAAAAAAAATTTCGGATTTAAAACACAAGAAAACCCAAATCGAATTGGATCGAATCAACAAAATTAACATGCTTTGTTCTTCGTGCAACGAAGTGGGCCTGCATTTGCAGTAAGAGTAGAAACTTGAGACCCATGAGCGACTGTGAAAGTCTATTCTCTTGAATAACCAGGTGCATAACTTCCATATCCTGATGAAATGAAAGAAGCTCCATCTTGAAACACATCTCTAGAAGATCTCTATTTCCAATTCTTCCAACCATTCTTATTATTCTCTCTTTTAGTAACCTACAAAAGATCAGATTTTCAAATGTTCAGCCACAAAATTGGGTGAATAATTCTTGATATTCAAGTCAAGATTTATCTCTTTAATTGATGCGATTTTTGAAGCTGTATAGTATTAGTAGTTCCCTTCACTAAGTATCGTTGGATTTGCAGTATCACCAATCAAAATACATATGTCATTCATTATACTTATTGTTTGCAACATGTGCATACCCAAGCCTCACCCTGGAATTTTTGAGACTGCTAACTATGGGCAACGCCCACCGGGGCGTTGTTGCACGTTATGACGACACAAACACCGCCCATTTTCACTGTTTTTGCGCGTTATAGGCATGCCCATTGCTTCCCATTACCACCACAACGTCATAAAAAACGCCGTTTCCTTCTTTTTTCTCCTAAAAACGCTACTAGGCGTTGCCCACGCCTAACAACCTAAGGTTAAAAACTTTTTAGTATAAGTGATGGAACAAGTTTGAGAAATCTTCAATAAAGTCTCGATATTGTGGTTCCGTTTACAGTTTAATCCTAATTTTTATTTTTTAAAAAGAAAAGTCAAAATTATTTTATATTTTGCAAAATTAACATAATAATCCTTATTTTTTTTTCCAACAAAAAATGACAGATTATCGTAAATACGATAATCGAGACTTTTCTGTTAAAAAATAAATATCGGATTAAACTGTAAACTGACTGTAACGTCCCAAAAATAATGAAATAAAATTTTTGCTTTTAAATTAATAAATCGTTAATACATATCATTTTCATAAAACTATGGTAATCAAGATTTAGCAAAACATCATCGAATCAGAGTAAATCACAGGATGCGGAAACATGTGGTGTGTGCTCTGCAACCATCCCGAGCCCTTCCATTGAAAACCAAAGTACCTGAAACATAATCTGAAAACCATAAGCACAAAGCTTAGTGAGTTCCCCAAGATACAACATACCATACATAACTGATCACATAACGGGCTCCGCCCACACTCGCCTAACGAGCCTTGCCCACACTCGCATAACGGGCCCCACCCACACTCGCATAAGAATGAGATACGGACCCCACTCACACTCGCATAACGGGCCCCGCCCAATAAACATACATATACAAGCACATACAAGTATCACACAAACAACAAGTATAATAACATAACCAATAGAGGGTCGTCCTTGGTGCCTTAGACCCGCTAAACCCAGTGAGGAAACTCACCTCGCACTGCCGAAACGCACAGAAAATCCATGGCTGCTGGCTGACAGATCCCCGAACTATCAATATCAAAACAACACCCGATCAACATCTGGGTCCCAAACCATAACCATAAGTCCAACAGTCCATTCTTGGGGTAAAAATACCATTTTACCCCTTACCTAGTTTGGCCCAAGGCTAAGGCCCAAACTCAAAATCTGAAAGGCCCAAAACCAAATAATCACTTAAGGCCCATACTTGGCCTAAATCTTCCAAATTGGTCCCCAAACATAGCCCAACATAACCCATGGTCAACCTTGGTCAAACTTACAGTCAAAGTCAAAGTCAACAACCCATGATGACCAAACACATCGTGTTGCCCCTTGGACACGCCTTGTTCTTCCCTCATCCAGATAATCAGGAAATCCCCAACCAACAGGTCGTGTTGGCTAGCAAACACGTCGTGTTTTCCCGAGATTTAGCATCTTAATACAATAAGCTACTCTCTCTGGTTCCAAGAACTCCAAAGCTCAGATCTAGACCAAAATGAGACTTAGAAGGGTAAAGTTTCCATCTTTACCCATAAGGTTTAGCAAATAGGGTCTAAACCCAACCAAAAAGGCTTGATAGAGCAAGGGCTTAAACAATAAGCACTTAATACTTGAAGACATAGCCTCAAAACATAGATCTGCCTTCCTTGAGCTGGAAACCACGTAACGCTGCCAACTTCACATTCATGCATGTCTAGATGAAGCTCTTAAGCTTAAAAAGGGACTTAATAATTGAATTAATGCATGCATGACACCAAAAATCTCATAAAGTTTGCAACTTTATGCTCAAGGAGCCCAAAACAAACTCATATATGGAATAACAAGCCCTTAAAAGACTTCACTCTCTCATCAACCCAAAAAGGGACCAAAAGCACAACAAATAACAAAATGAAGAGATCTAAACATCTATAAGAGAAGATGAAAACTTGATACCTCAGAAAGCTTCCCCACAAGATGATGATTCTGGATCCAAAGCCTTTCCCCTAACAAAGCAACTTCAAGATCTTCTATTCCTTCACAAAGACCAAAGATGAGCACCAAGAACCCCTTACTAACTCAAGAACACCACCATGAGACTTAGGGATCGATTTTAGGGTTTTAGTGTCAATGGAGGCTGGTAAGGAGACCAGCCCTTGGGGCTTAAAGAGATTATATAGGGTGCAACATCCTAAAAATTAGGGTTTCCTTCCCAGCTTCCAACATGCCGTGTTTAAACACCAACATGCCGTGTTGACCTTAATGAGAATCACGCTTTTCCTTAACTAGACACGCCGTGTTGGTTCCTCCAACACGCCGTGTCCAATCCTCAAAATGGGATTCATTCCTTACAATTGCTCCTCAAGATTCCGGGTGTTACAATTCTCCCACAACTAAATTATATTTCATCCTCGAAATCGTTCCTTACCATCCCAGGCACCCAGACAACCTGAAGAATGCAACCACAGCCCCGAACACACACTGCCTTCCCATGGCTACCGAACCCAACCATAGCAGAACTCTGCAAACCAGAAGAAGACAAATCCATAATCCCGTGCAGAAAACGAACCCTACCTTACCTGAAACCTGAAATCTCGAATTCTCGAATTGGTCTAACACCCTGACAGACCACCCATATTGAATCACTACCATACCAAAACCTTATTGAATTCTAGACCAACAAAACGCTTCCAATCCTTGATTATCTTGATGCTTCCATTGGGAACAAAATCACTTGTCATTTACTGTTGTAGAACACTTATACTTGACAAGAGGCTCAAATAATCCTTCGAGTGGCAAACGACTCCACACTCGAGTCCCAAATCACTAACACTGCCTTGACTTATCTCAATGCCCCCTAGTTGCTTTCCAAAAGCAGCCGAGACCTCCCTGGTCCCAACTTGTCTGCCACCAACTGAAACACCGGATTCCTGCCCGGTTGCTGAGTCTAAAGACACACACAGTCGCTCCATGCGATTTCCGAATGAAAGCCTCATCTGGAAAAGAATTGCCCAAGCTATCTTGCCACTTATGGCTCCAACGATTATAACAGCCCGACAATCCTAACGCCACCAAATCCAATGCGAAAAGTGAATGCTATAAAACCAACTATGGTCTTATATCACAACCGGCCTCCGACGACCTACCACTTCCATGGTTTCATGCATGTTGTGGTCTCCCCACAGCCTTACGAACTGACCCACCCTGGTCTAATCCATCTGAAGAAACCCATGACCAATCATATAATGAAATCCATCTGAAAATCTGAACCCCATACTTGCCTGACCTCCACATAGCTAGAACCATCCAAACACAATCACAAGAACCTGATCTATCATCAAAACTGAAACCATCCCTTCAATCCTGAATCCTTCAACTGATACTCTTGGCATTCATATTTCTTAACTCATAACCCATAGAAGAGAAGGCCTTACACATAAACACCCACGATTCCCAATGCAATTTCCCACCAAGAACCATCTCGGTATCCAACTTATAACCCGAGATCCAAGGATTTTGTAACATCCCAATTATCCAGGGTAAAAATTTCATTTTTATTATAATCAAAACATCATTGTAACTTTGTCCAAACATTGAAAAGCATTTAAATAAAAACAATTATCAGATTTCATTCCCAAATATCGCATATTGCGGAAAACACGAGTGTATGCGTTGCGATCGTCCCGGGTTCTTTCATTTGAAAACTGGAGTACCTGAAACATAAACTGAAAACCGTAAGCACAAAGCTTAGTGAGTTCCCCAAGTACCACATACCATACAATAAACATACTGCTAAGCATATATGGGTGCTGGCCTCCCCTTCGATCTATTTCAACCGGATACCGCCGAGAATATCTAGGTGCTGGCCTCCCCTTCGCTCTATTTCAACCGGATACCAGGTCTATTTCACCCCTACCACTACCATATAATATCATAAACAAATAATCACATAAACAACAACAGATACTGGCATACCA